TTAGGGTTAGTAGTTTTAGATATTGAAGTTTTGAATGAGCAAAAAAAATCGAAAAAACAAATTTTATCAAGTGCCTCGTATGTTGGAGCGATGCTCGATCAGCTCATGGAAGCTCTCTTAATACAGAAAATTTTATTGAAATATATAAGTCATTTATTTATTTAACCTTCGGTCGTTCAGTCTTAAAAATAGACATAACGAACCCGCGATAGCTCAGTTGGTAGAGCGGAAGACTGTAGATGTATAACAACTGTAATCTTTAGGTCACTGGTTCGACTCCGGTTCGCGGGAGTCTTTTTTTTTGATAATGATACATCAAGAAAGAAAAGAATATTATGTTTACACAAAGAGATACTTCTAAAACTATTAATGAAGCGTAACGGAATAACCAAGAAAGTTTGAACTGAACAAGAACACAAGATGTATGGCAAGGAGAAATATGAGAATTGATTTTCAGCACATCTCATGAGCTCGTCTAGAATTTCAATATTTCTATAAAAGATTTTTGTAGTGTAAATGATTTGGATTATTTATTTGAAATTTATTTATTAGTACAATTTCTATATTCAACAAAATTTAAAAATTTACCTTTTAGAAACTGATGCAATATTGATAGCTCGTACATTATCAATCATTTTCTTAATGCCTGACATTTGAGAACCTAATTTATTAGTATAATTAACTGAACCATAACTTCACCAATCAAAACAACCCTTTGAATTTTGAGAATTCCATGCTATTTGAATAACTTGTGGAAATAATATAATTATATTATTTAATTCAACAACCTCCAAATAACCTACTTTCTTAGCAAATACATCACCAATAAATGATTTACTTAAGAAAAGACAAACAATCAAATTATATATTAAAGAAATAAATAAAACACATCTTGTTTACATTCATGAAGAACAACATATATTGAACATTTCCTTCCATCATTACAAGCTGATGGAAAATAAACATAACCTTTTGTATCAAAATTAAATCCAGCACTAGATGCTGACGTTCAAATTATACCAGGAAGTGTAATACTTGGTAATGTAAATTTACTTAAATTAAATGATAGTAAAAATTTCCATGGCTTGTATAAAGTCATTGTTGCTTGTATCCTGTTTGATCATAATGAGAAAATATCTGTAGCTCTTGAATCTGATCTAGCAACAACTGGTGGATTCATAAATGCTGCTTGATCAAAAGCAATAGATTGCCCCACGCATGATGTTGGCATTTCACTTGATGGTTCAATAAGATCACCAACATATAAATGATTTAACATATCATAAGTCAATTTAAATTACTATTTCAAAAAAAGTAAACAATGTTTATTTAAATAATTTCTTTTTGTTTACTTTCTCTGTACATGCCAATTATTAATAAAATTAGTTGCATAAGGTGTTTCACTTTTTTCATCAAAATTTTCTGTTAGAAAACCATGGTTAGCTGGTATATCGCAGTTAGGTTTTATATTAGCACCTAATTTTGAATAAATTTGTTCATTGAGTTGCACAACAGTGGTAACAACTGTTTGATCATTTTTACCACGAAATATATATACTAGATTATCTTTTACATTTGAGGTTGAATCAGGAGTATTAGTTGTAATATATGATTTTAATTTATTTTTTTTAATATTTGTGACGGAAACAGATGTAGCTAGACCTTTCATACATGCACCAATAGCTGTCATCATATTACCTTGAGCTCAATAATATGGAGGGCCAGCAACAATATCATATACACTAATTTCAGATGAAAAAACAAGATATAATTGACTTATCATTGAGCCAACAGTTGATGTACCTGAGACAGTAACATCAGTTCGTGGTGGTTTAGCTTCAATCATTGAAGCAATAAGAACAAGAGCACAGAAAGTTTTCCACATTCTATGATTGTTGTTTTCGATGGATATAGAAGTACTCAAAATCAACATGAGTTATATATATGTGTGAAGAAAAGGGTGGGAGGGGGATGGTGAGACGTACATCTATTAGAAAAGATTTGTAAATTTATATGGGGGATGAATATTTGTAAAATATCAGAAAATTCAATATGGATATTGAAGATAAAATAAGAAAGAATGGATATTTTTGAGATACACAATCAGATTAATCTATCCAATAACCAATATCTTTGGTTGAGTCTGTACTTTTAATAAATTGTAAATATTGCTCTCATCCGATTTTTGCTTGCTAATCTTTTATTTTAAAGAAGTCTAACCTTGAAATTAACCATTTGGTGTCATAAGAATAGATTTTGTGTCAAAAATAATAGAAAATTGTATACCTTAGATTAATTTTAATGATTAGAATATTCTATCATCGAAAAATGATAAGTTCATATATAGATTCAATATTCAAAAGCATCATTGAATTACAAAAATTTGGATTTTTTTTATAGATAAAGTTTTTTCATTATTTGCTACTTGACAAAATAAAAATATTCATATGAATCATTATTAAGCATTTATGACAGGTTAGTTTTCAGGCATTCGTATGTATGTTTCAGAAGAAATTGTACTGAATTTCCACTCATTTTTCTCTTCTTTTTCCATAATAAAAGAAACTTTCCTATTGTTGACTTTGTTTCTTGAACAATTTTCTCTTATCAGCGAAAGGTTCAAAAGACGAACAGCTACATAGGCGTCCACTGGTGACTGTTAAAAAAAAGCCACAAAAAAATGATGGCAATCGCTTAATGAAGGTCCCATTAAAAGTTCAACTTTCTCACAAAATTTACCGTAAAATTCTGCATTAGTCCTTCTTCTGATTGACTTGTGACATTCTTGTGTTTTTTAATTCGAAACATCCTAAATACTCTCAAGGTTGAATTTAATCTTTACTCAGTTTTATTCAGAATTGAATTCTATATCCAATAGCATAATAATAAAAAGTTCAAAGAGAAAATGTGGTTTTTGAAAACATGATTTTCCAAAGTTTTCTCACAAGTATCGATAGCGATGTTTAAATGTAAAACTGAATAACAAAAAATTCATACAAACGTAATGAATATTTTGAAAAAAATAATGAAGATGAGCAGTATAGCTATCATTTTATCTTTTATACTTTTGAAAACAAATAATAGGACTAGGAAAGTTGCCACTATTGAAGAAGAAAGTGAATTATTTTTTTTTATTTTGATAAAATAAAGATAAGATTTTATTTATTTGTTTAAAAGATCAAAGAACAGAATCAAATTTAAAAAAAACACAAAAAATTATTTTTAATAAAATCTTTAATGGACAACTAGTTATACAGCTGCATGATCTCTAATTTCGTATAATGAGCAAAATTATTTGTCCTACAATGCCATATATGTTGTGTGTTATTTTTAATAATGCATTTTCATTTTTTTTTTACAAGTTTTTTTTTTTCTTTCATCTCTTCAAAATAAATAGAATCTAATCTTGTTATATCTATGATGAAACATGTCTTTATCTAGATCCGAAAAAGTAAAAGTACACTAAAACGACTCCTTACCTTATATTAGTTTCTTGCAAAACTCTTTTTTTTCACTTTATTTGAAAGGAGGCATAATTGTTGTAATGAGCATTTAGAGAGATGCGGTGTAAGTCCTTTCATCATACCTACATCAAGAGAGATGGTTTGTATGTGTGCTGCCTTACAATTCCACATTTTATTAGTCAAAACTACATTTGTTGACAAAAAACAAACTTTTTTTCTACGCCATAGTTTGGATTTTCAGACAATCATTGACTTTTCTGAAAATTCGTATAAAGCGACATATGCTTCTGTGAAAGTGTGCATGATCTATAAATTTACCAGCAGAAATAACAAATCTCTGAACTTTGAGTTCTATGAAATTTATTATTCTTTGATACAAGGAAAGCATTAATTTTCTTGGCTGACAAATTTTCATAGTATACTCTCATTTACAGTTGAAACAAGTTCTTTGAAAAATCATTGAAGATTCGAAATAACAACTCATATTTTGTCTTGGACGATTTCCTCGAGTTTGAAAATCTAACAGCAAATCATTAGGAAAAATATCAATTTTGATCTTCTGAATGAAGAAATTATAAGTGCAATGCTTTCTATTATCGAACTAACGACTAAATCATTACAATCTCTATCTACACAGTACTATTACATATTTATGAAATTAAAATTTATCCAGTTTGTACACTTTCATATAGACAATTTAGAACTTCAAAAGGATGAAGTCATTCTTCCAATTCCTATCAATGATAAAATACTCAATACTAATTCCCATTGACATATCTCTTCTTTTGTTCTTTTCTTTAGCATGAAAATTAGAATGAATATGTAGGATAATCATTTGTATTATTTACAATTTCATCTCATAGAATGCTTATCTATAACAAACAATATTATAAATTCTAGGTAAACTCTAATCAGAATGATGAGCATCTGTGGAAAAAAAACATATCCAATGGTCTTTTCTTAGATTTTTCATCTGGCATTTTATACAAAAAAAAAGAGAATACAGAAAAAAAAATACTGCTGAAATTAACATGAAATAAAGATAATAATATGGAAATAAAGAATTAGAATAATGTGCAACATCGATTTGTTTTTCTTGCCTAAAGATAAAACAAATAAAAATTAATATATAAATAAGCAAAGAATATAGTTGTACCGTTTTATAAATTGCTTTTGCCTCGATACTTAAATGATTTGATCGGTCAACTAAATCATCCAAATGTTCACCACGTTCAAGTACATCAACTAATGTTTTTTTCTACAAACAGAAAAAGAAAACAAAATATATCTTATTAAAATAGTTTAAATAAGAAACTTACAAGAATATCTTTTGTATCATCAAGATCTTTTTGAAGACGCATCAATGGATCAGCTTCTTGTGGATTCTAAATTCAAAATAAAATAAACAATTATTTATTTCTATACTTATATAGAAAAGTAACCTGATATTTT